AGCCAAGGTCAGGGAGAGAAAGGGAAATTCTCTCTGACCTCAGTTGATGACCAAGTTATTCCCTGAAGCATAAAGATTGATTGCCCTTGTAATGTTCATACAGGCAATAGTTCTACGCATGATATTCCTTTCTGGCTCCAAGAGAATGCAGTGGAGCCATATTTGTGAAGAGCATACAGCAGCAGGCAGGACTGAGCAATGGACACTAGTGGTGGCCCCCTCTGTGGAACTTCCTAATGAAATGAGGTTGGCCCCCTCCCCACTATCCTTTTGGACAAAACTTAAATCATGGTTGTGGAACCAAGCATTCCAGCAGCAGATTGTGATAATTATGTGAATGACAATGGACAGACTTCAGATTGTGACTTTGGATGTGCTTTTAAATCGATGTTTATAATTGATGTTTTAAATTGTTTTAATTGTAATTGCTATTGTTATAATTGTTTGTTTGGCATCTAATGGTTGCCGGTTGTGAGCCACCCTGAGTTGCATGTTGCATACCCTCCCGCTGAAGACGATATTATGGTGGGAGTGATCATCCAACACAACTTCCAGAAAGGGGTGCTCCTTTGATGAGGCAAAGTTCTCTCCTCCATAAGAAGAATCTTGTTTTAATTGTAATTGCTATTGTTATAATTGTTTGTTTGGCATCTAATGGTTGCCGGTTGTGAGCCACCCTGAGTTGCATGTTGCATACCCTCCCGCTGAAGACGATATTATGGTGGGAGTGATCATCCAACACAACTTCCAGAAAGGGGTGCTCCTTTGATGAGGCAAAGTTCTCTCCTCCATAAGAAGAATCCTCTTTCTCTCACTCAGAACATTTCTGTAGTTGATTGGTTTCAATCTTGCATTTTCCCATGATTTCCTACATTTTGTCTTTCTTCTTTCAAGGTGGTGATGGACAACGGAGTGAAAATGGGGGAGCTCCAAATAAAATGTGGCTGAAAGGAGCGAGAAGTAAAAAGGAAGAAGAAAGAAGCCTAAGAATGAAAGCAGAGGTGGTGATGGACAACGGAGTGAAAATGGGGGAGCTCCAAATAAAATGTGGCTGAAAGGAGCGAGAAGTAAAAAGGAAGAAGAAAGAAGCCTAAGAATGAAAGCAGAAGGATATAACAGGAAGCAATGCCTTGTCAACACCAGAGAAATCACAATCCAAGAGACAGTACACAAAAGCAAGGAGATTGGAAACAGCCCTGTCTATGAGAACGGGTTCTTCCAGGAAGCATCTAGTATACACTCTGCACACAATGAGGAATGCCATATTGTAGGCAAGTCATATAAATGCCTGGAATGTGGAAAATGCTTTCATCAAAAAGGAAGCCTCAGTGTACACCGCATAATCCACACAGGAGAGAAGCCATATAAATGCCTGGAGTGTGGAAAATGCTATACCCAAGAAAGTTCCCTAAGGAGACACCAAAAAACCCACACAGGAAAGAAACCCTATAAATGCCTGGAGTGTGGAAAAGGTTTTTGTGATAAGAGAAGTCTTATTGGACATGAAAGGAGTCACAGAGGAGAGAAACCCTATAAATGCCTGGAGTGTGGAAAAGGTTTTTGTGTTAAGAGAAGTCTTATTGGACATGAAATGAGTCACAGAGGAGAGAAACCCTATAAATGCCTGGAGTGCGAGAAGAGTTTCTCTTCAAAAGATAGCCTAAAGCTGCACCAAAACGCTCACAGAGGAGAGAAGCCATATAAATGCCTAGAGTGTGGAAAATGTTTCATTCAAAATGCTCACCTTAAAAGCCACAGAAGAACTCACACAGGAGAGAAGCCCTATAAATGCCTGGAATGTGGAAAAGGTTTTTCTCATAAGAGGATTCTTATTGGACATGAAATGAGTCACAGAGGAGAGAAACCCTATAAATGCCTGGAGTGCGGGAAGAGTTTCTCTTTGAGAGATAGCCTAAAACAGCACCAAAACACTCACTCAGGAGAAAAGCCACATAAATGTCTGGAGTGTGGAAAATGCTTTACCCAAGAAGGTAACCTAAGGACACACCAAAAAACCCACACAGGAAAGAAACCCTATAAATGCCTGGAGTGTGGAAAAGGTTTTTGTGATAAAAGAAGTCTTATTGGACATGAAATGAGTCACAGAGGAGAGAAACCCTATAAATGCCTGGAGTGCGAGAAGAGTTTCTCTTCGACAGTTGGCCTAAAGGTGCACCAAAACGCTCACAGAGGAGAGAAGCCCTATAAATGCCTAGAGTGTGGGAAATGTTTCTCTTGGAAAGGACACCTCAAGAGACACAAAAGAACCCACACAGGAGAGAAGCCATATAAATGCCTGGAGTGTGGGAAATGTTTCTCTTGGAAAGAACACCTCAACCGACACAAAAGAACCCACACAGGAGAGACGCAATATAAATGCCTGGAGAGTGGAAAATGTTTCTCTTGGAAAGGACACCTCAAGAGACACAAAAGAACCCACACAGGAGAGAAGCCATATAAATGCCTGGAGTGTGGGAAATGTTTCTCTTGGAAAGAACACCTCAACCGACACAAAAGAACCCACACAGGAGAGACGCAATATAAATGCCTGGAGAGTGGAAAATGTTTCTCTTGGAAAGGACACCTCAAGAGACACAAAAGAACCCACACAGGAGAGAAGCCATATAAATGCCTGGAGTGTGGGAAATGTTTCTCTCAAAAAGAAGGCCTCAGTACACATCAAAAAACCCACACAGGAGAGAAGCCATATAAATGTATGGAGTGTGGAAAATGTTACTTTCAGAAAGGAAACCTCAAGACACACGAAAGAACCCACACAGGAGAGGAGCAATATCAATGCCTGGAACGTGGAAAAGGTTTTTCTGATAAGAAAAGTCTTATGGGACATGAAATGAAACACAGAGGAGAGAAACCCTATAATTGCCTGGAGTGTGGGAAGAATTTCCGTTCGAAAACTGGCCTAAAACTGCACAAAAACACCCACATAGGAGAGAAGCCATATAAATGCCTGGAGTGTGGAAAATGTTTCATTCAAAGAGCACACCTCAAAAACCACAAAAGAACTCACACACATGAGAAGCTATATAAATGCTTGGAGTGTGGAAAAGGCTTTTATGAAGAGAGCAGTCTTATTAGACATGAAATGAACCACAAAGGAGAGAAACCCTATAAATGCCTGGAGTGCGAGAAGAGCTTCTGTTGGAAAAATAGCCTAAAGGTGCACCAAAACACCCACACAGGAGAGAAGCCAAATAAATGCCTGGAGTGTGGAAAAGGTTTCCTTCAGAAAGGAAACCTCAAGCGACACGAAAGAATCCACTTGCAAGAGAAGCCCTATAAATGCCTGGAGTGTGGAAAAGGTTATTCTGAAAAGAGGGCTCTTGTTGGACATGAAATGAATCACAGAGGAGAGAAACCCTACAAATGTCTGGAGTGTGGGAAGAGTTACAGCCTTAAAGCTGTTCTTGCAGCTCACCAGAAGAGTCATACAGGAGAGAGTGAGAAGAGTTTTAGCTACAAATCAGACCTCAAAAATGTCCAGGAAAGTCATATAGAAAACAAAACCAAAGACATGTCCAGAATGAGGGAAGAGCTTCCATTGGAGAGTAGTCTCAAGGTCCATTWAAAAAAAACCCACACAGGAGAGGTCAAAAAGCCTGGAATCTTATCTGAGTGAACTACAAATCAAGCCTCGAAGATTATCGGAATGTTCATAGAAAGAGAAATTCTACATATCCCTGCATTTTGGAAAGAGTTGAGTTGCACAACAAGCTTCACGGTGTACAAAAAAATCAAAATGGGAAAGAAACCATGGAAATGCCTTCACTCAAAAGAAAAATCCACTTGAGCATGAAATGAATCTCAAGAAGAGAAAAACCTCTAAATGCTTTAAGGGTGGGAAGAGTTGTGTCCTCCAATCAGGTCTCAAAACTCTCCAGGAGAGAAAGCATACACACGCCAAGAGCATGGGAGAGAACCTGGCAGATTCAGCCCAGTCCTGGCCTTGTGGTCCTGTTGCTGCTTCACCTGTTGAGATGATGTGGTTTCCACACTGCTTTCCTCCTTTTCAGCTCTTTTGTGCTTGTTTTAGAAATGCGCTCCGTTTCTTGTATTTTGCAAATGCTCAGAGAGAAATAAAGGCATCTCATGACTTCGTGGTGTAATGTTTTGGGCCTTGTAATGTCCCTCTATAAGGCAGAGCTTGCAGCCCCACTTGGCCTTGGAAACCCACTGATGTGCTGGAGCTAGAGACACTCTCTCAGCCTCAGAGAAAGGCGGAGGTGGTCCCCCAGGACCCAAATACTAACCCAGGCTGAGCTTCGAAAATCAGATAGAATCTGGTGCCTTAAGGCGTATTGTCATACACACACACATGCACGCATGCACTTGCTTAAACTGGCCTCAAGCACAGGGCCTCAAGCAGAGGCATCAGCATACTAAACAAACACATTGTCTTGCAAGCAAGCCCTTGGCCTCTAATCTATATAAAGAAAAATGTAATGTTCGTTTGTGGGATTAATAAAACTCAAAAACCACTGGATGAATTGACACCAAATTTGGACACAAGACACCTAATGTATGTCCTTCACTCAAAAAAATTGAGTTGGGAGTTGTAGTTGCTGGGATTTATAGTTCGCCTATAATCAAAGAGCATTCTGAACCCCACCAACAATGGAATTGAACCAAACTTGGCACACAGTTCTCCCATGACCAACAGAAAATACTGGAAGGGTTTGGTGGGCAGTGTCCTTTGGTTTTGGACTTGTAGTTCACCTACATCCAGAGATCACTGTGAACTCAAACAATGATGGATCTGGACCATCAAATACTCAATATGCCCAAATGTGAACAATGGTGGAGTTTGGGGAAAATAGATTCATGACATTTGGGAGTTGTAGTTGCTTGGATTTATAGTTCACCTACAATCACAGAGCATTCTGAACCCCACCAACAACAGAATTGGGCCAAACCTCCCACACAGAACCCCCATGTGGGCCACAACAATGCATGGCAGGGAACGGCTAGTTTTAAATAAAACTACAAAGACAACTGCTGGTGTGTTCTTTGATGTTTTAAGCAAGGTGGTTCTACTTTGAGGTGTGACAATACTTTGGGAACAAGCAAAGACCACAGTGCACTGCATCCTTCTCGACAGGTGCCTTCTTACCTGGCTCAGGTGCCCAGGAGTCATTTCCACTCCATCCAGAAGAAGAGATGAACGACTACAGCTTTCTAGCATCGGGGCGGCTTACATGGGGCCAAGCCCAGACAACATACAGTTAAAAATATAGCAGCAAAATATAAAAAGCATAAAAATAACATCATCAACAATAATAACAAACATCATAAGCAACAACATAGGTACCTCTAATCTGATTTTTGGGGGGAGCGGATCAATATGCAAAATGAGTTAAAGGATAGGTTGGGCAAAATAGGTGGATAGAATGAATAGTAGAATAGGAATAGAGCAATTATAACAGGATCATTACAGCTTAGCTTAAAATATAGTCATCAAATATAAGAACTGAGTTCAGGTCATGGTTAGAAGCCATCTATCAAAAGCTTGCAAACTTTGTGCTTTGTTTGTTTGTTTGTTAAAAAATGCAATACAGCTGTTTTGGTTTGCTCCTGACACGATAAATACATAAATTCGTTCAGGCGCTTCCAACTCTTTGTGACTTCATGAACCAGCCCACGCCATAGCTCCCTGTTGGCCGTGGTCAGCCCCAGCTCCTTCAAGGTCAAACCAGTCACTTCAAGGATCCCATCTATTCCCCTATCTTGCCCTTAGTCAGCCCCTCTTCCTTTTCCCCTCCATTTCCCCCAGCATCATTCTCTTCTCTAAGCTTTCCCTTCTTCTCATGATGTGGCCAAAGGACTTCATCTTTCTGTCTACTGTCCTTCCCTCCAATGAGCAGCCGGGCTTTATTTTCTAAAGTATGGACTGCTAGGATCTTCTGGCGGTCCAAGGCACTCTCAGAATTTCCCTCCAGCACCACAGTTCAAAAGCATCTCTCTTCCTTCGCTCAGCCTTCCTTATGGTTCGGCTCTTGCATCCATAGGTTACTACGGGGAATACCGTTGCTTTAACTATGCGGATCTTCGTTGCCAGTGTGATGTCACAGAATTATGGAATCCTAGAGTTGGAAGAGACCTCGTGGGCCATCCAGTCCAACTCCCTGCCAAGAAACAGGAACTCTACACTCTTTTATCAAGACTGGTAATTGCTCTCCTCCCAAGAAGGAAACATCTTCTGATTTCCTGGCTGCACTCTGCATCTGCAGTAATCTTTGCACCTAGAAATACAAATTCTGTCACTGCCTCCACGTTTCCTCCCTCTATTTGCCAGTTGTCAATCAGTCCGGTTGCCAGAATCTTGGTTTTTTAAAATGTTTTGTTGCAAGCCAGCTTTTGCCCTTTCTTCTTTCACCTTGGTGAAAAGGCTCCTCAGTTCCTCCTCGCTTTCAGCCATCAAAGTGGTATCATCTGCATATCTCAGGTTGTCAATGTTTCTTGCAGCCATTTTAACTCCAGCCTTGGACTCATCAAACCCCGCACATCTCATGTGTTCTGCATACAAGTTGAATAGGTTGGGTGAGAGTATACAGCCCTGCCATACCCCTTTCCCAATCCTGAAATAGTCTTGTGGTTCCATGGTCTGTTCTGACTGTTGGTCGTCATACAGATTCACAGAATCCTAGAGTTGGAAGAGACCTGGTGGGCCATCCAGTCCAACCCCATTCTGCCAAGAAGCAGGAATATTGCATTCAAAGCACCCCTGACAGATGGCCATCCAGCCTCTGTTTAAAAGCTTCCAAAGAAGGAGCCTCCACCACACTCCGGGGCAGAGAGTTCCACTGCTGAACGGCTCTCACAGTCAGGAAGTTCTTCCTCATGTTCAGATGGAATCTCCTCTCTTGTAGTTTGAAGCCATTCTTCCATTGCGTCCTAGTCTCCAGGGAAACGAAAAACAAGCTTGCTCCCTCCTCCCTGTGGCTTCCTCTCACATATTTATACATGGCTATCATATCTCCTCTCAGCCTTCTCTTCTTCAGGCTAAACATGCCCAGCTCCTTAAGCCGCTCCTCATAGCGCTTGTTCTCCAGACCCTTGATCATTTTAGTCGCCCTCCTCTGGACACATTCCAGCTTGTCAATATCTCTCTTGAATTGTGGTGCCCAGAATTGGACACAATATTCCAGGTGTGGTCTAACTCAAGAGGCAGACAATGTGACTTGGGATCCCCAAACCACCAAGAACTTGCCACAACTTATTATGATCCACACAAAGGCTTTAAAATAGCCAAGAAAATAGAAATAGATGTTTGGATTTCTGGGAGTTGAAGGCTAAAACCCCTGGGGACCCACAGGTTGAGAACCACAGCTTTAGTTTCCCTTTTTTGGAAGGGCCAAGGAGGAGGGGGCGTGGCCTGAGATGGGAATGGGGCGTGGCCAGCGGGAGAGGCTCCGCCCCCAGAAGCACGACCCACGCAGGGCGAGGAAGCAAGCACTGCTCTGGCTTCTTTCGTTTCTTCCCTCTCCAAGCCACGTGGTGAGTCTTCTTTCCACTTATGTGGGTTTTGGGGGATCCAGATTTGGAAGGGAGGAAGGAGACCCCTCTGTGGAAGACCCAACCTGGCCCTTCCAACTCCATTCCTTCTTTTCTTTCTTTCCATCCTTCCTTTTCTTATTTCCTACTCTTCCTCCCTTCTTTCCTTCCTTACATCCTCCCTTTTATTATGTCCCTCTCTTCCTCCCTCCCTTCTATTCTATCCTTCCTTCCATCCTTCCTTTCCTTATTTCCTTCTTTCTTTTCTTTCCTTCCTTCCATCCTTCCTTATTTCCTTCTCTTCCTCCTTTCTTTCCTTCCATCCCTCTTTTCCTTATTTCCTTCTCTTCCCCCTCCCTTTTTTCTTTCCTTCCTTCCTTTTCTTATTTCCTTCTTTTCCTCCCTTCTTTTCTTTCCTTCCTTCCAACCTTCCTTATTTCCTTTTCTTCCTCCCTCCCTTCTTTTCTTTCCTTCCATCCTTCCTTTTCTTATTTCCTTCTCTTCCTTTCTTTCCTTCCATCCTTCCTTTCCTTATTTCCTTCTCTTCCCCCTCCCTTTTTCTTTCCTTCCATCCTTCCTTTTCTTATTTCCTTCTTTTCCTCCCTCCCTTCTTTTCTTTCCTTCCTTCCAACCTTCCTTATTTCCTTTTCTTCCTCCCTCCCTTCTTTTCTTTCCTTCCATCCTTCCTTTTCTTATTTCCTTCTCTTCCTTCTCTTCCTTTCTTTCCTTCCATCCTTCCTTTTATTATTTCCTTCTCTTTTTCCCTCCCTTCTTTCCTTCCATCCTTCCCTTTCCTATTTCCTTCTCTTCCTCCATCCCTTTTTTCTTTCCTTCCATCCTTGCTTTTCCTATTTCCTTCTCTTCCTCCCTTCCTTCCATCCTTCCTTTCCTTATTTCCTTCCCTCCCTCCCTCCCTCCCTTTTTTCTTTCCTTCCACCCTTCCTTTTCTTATTTTCTTCTCTTCCTTCCTCCCTTTTCTTTCTTTCCATCTTTCTTTTTCTTATTTCCTTCTATTCCTCCCTTCTTTCCTTCCACCCTTCCTTTTATTTCCTTCTCTTCCTTCCTCCCTCCCTTCTATTCTTTCTTTCCATCCTTCCTTTTCTTATTTCCTTCTATTCTTTCCTTCCACCCTTCCTTTTCTTATTTCCTTCTCTTACTCCCTTCTTTTCTTTCCTTCCACCCTTCCTTTTCTTATTTCCTTCTCTTACTCCCTTCTGTTCATTCCTTCCACCCTTCCTTTTCTTATTTCCTTCTCTTACTCCCTTCTTTTCATTCCTTCCATCCTTCCTTTCCTTATTTCCTTCTCTTCCTCTCTCCCTTTTTCCTTCCTTCCATCCTTCCTTTACACAAACAAGATTTCCTCATTTCCTCCTTTAGAGAAATGCTGTTCAAGCAGGATTTCAAACCTCTGCTGAGAGTGAATTATGGGATACTTTATTATTCTTTTAGATATGCATTGTTGAATGTGTGTGTGTTTATTTATTTACTTACCATATTTGTACCCTGCCCTTCTCAGCCTTTGTTTCATGGCATGAAAAGGGAAGAGGTTCTTCAACCAAGATGGAAAGTGTTTTGGAGCCCAGAGTGAAGGTGGAGGAGCCAAGTCCACCCAGCTCTGAAGTGGGAAGAGAGCCCAAAAAAATGTGGGGCAAGAGAAGAGTTGGATTCTGGGAGAGAACTGGGGAGGATGCCCTGGAGGAGAAGGCCTTCACCCCAGACCTTCAGGGCCAGAGCTTCCAACGCTTCCACGAGGAGGAGGCCTTGGGGCCCCGAGAGGTGTGCAGCCGCCTCCACTCTCTCTGCCGCCTGTGGCTGAAGCCTGAGCGACACTCCAAGGCGGAGATGCTGGACATGGTGATCCTGGAGCGATTCCTGGCCGTCCTTCCTGCAGAGATGGAGCGCTGGGTGAGGGAATGTGGGGCAGAGACCAGCTCCCAGGCCGTGGCCTTGGCTGAAGGCTTCCTCCTGAGTCGGGCCCAAGAGGAGAAGGCACTGCAGGAAGAGCAACAGGAGAAAGAGGCCCAGGAGGCCCCATTGGATACCAACCAGGGCTTCTCTTCCAGGTGGATCAAGCTGGAGGAGGAGGACAAAAGGGCTGCTCCTCCAGGTAAGAGGTCTTTTGCTTGGTCCTTGCTCTCAAGGTTCGTCCAAATGTCAGGTCTTCTGTTATGTCCCCAAAATATATGTTTCCGTTGCTGTTTTCTTAGAGGTGGACAGAGGGGCTGCTTCACAGGGTAAGATCCCTTCTTTCTCTAGGTCAAAGACCTCCCAAACGTATGATCTTCCATTATGTCCCCCAAAATGCTTGTCTTGAATAGATGTTTAGTTGGAATGTTTTAAGAGCGGTTTTAGGAATATTTACATCCAAGCTGGTATTGTATGGAATGTGCTGCACGTCATGAATGCGTGTGCCATATAAAACCCTTTGCAGTTCCTTCTGGCCTTAAAGAAATCCATCTTCCCTTCCCGTGTTTGCCATTTCACAGGAGATGAACCAAGCGTGCTGAAAAGACCTGGCAGGTCCACTCTTTCTGATCCCGGAGAAGTGGCATCCATTCAGCACGATAAGGTAAAGAGATGGCAGTAGAAATGAACTGGAGATAATTGTGGAATTGTCCCCAACCGCTTCATATAATGACTACTACTACTAGTAGTAATAATAATAACAACAACAATAATAATAACCATCCATTCAGCACAAAAAGGTAAAGAGATGGCAGTAGAAATGAACTGGAGATAATTATGGCAATGTCCCTAACCGCTTCATATAATGACTACTACTACTAGTAGTAGTAGTAACAACAACAACAATAACCATCCATTCAGCACGATAAGAGATGGCAGTAGAAATGAACTGGAGATAATTGTGGCAATGTCCCCAACCGCTTCCTATAATGACTAGTAGTAGTAGTAGTAGTAACAACAACAACAATAATAATAACCATCCATTCAGCGCAATAAGGTAAAGAGATGGCAGTAGAAAAGAACTGGAGATAATTGTGGCAAAGTCCCTAACCGCTTCATATAATGACTACTACTACTAGTAGTAGTAGTAACAACAACAACAATAACCATCCATTCAGCACGATAAGAGATGGCAGTAGAAGTGAACTGGAGATAATTGTGGCAATGCCCCTAACCGCTTCATATAATGACTACTACTACTACTACTAGTAACAACAACAAGAATAACCATCCATTCAGCACGATAAGAGATGGCAGTAGAAATGAACTGGAGATAATTATGGCAATGTCCCTAACCGCTTCATATAATGACTACTACTACTACTAGTAGTAGTAACAACAACAACAATAACCATCCATTCAGCACGATAAGAGATGGCAGTAGAAATGAACTGGAGATAATTGTGGCAATGTCCCCAACCGCTTCCTATAATGACTAGTAGTAGTAGTAGTAGTAACAACAACAACAATAATAATAACCATCCATTCAGCGCAATAAGGTAAAGAGATGGCAGTAGAAAAGAACTGGAGATAATTGTGGCAAAGTCCCTAACCGCTTCATATAATGACTACTACTACTAGTAGTAGTAGTAACAACAACAATAATAACCATCCATTCAGCACGATAAGAGATGGCAGTAGAAATGAACTGGAGATAATTGTGGAAATATCCCCAACCGTTTAATATAATGACTAATAGTAGTAGTAATAGTAATAACAACAACAACAATAATAACCATCCATTCAGCACAAAATGGTAAAGAGATGGCAGTAGAAATGAACTGGAGATAATTGTGGCAAAGTCCCTAACCGCTTCATATAATGACTACTACTACTAGTAGTAGTAACAACAACAATAATAACCATCCATTCAGCACGATAAGAGATGGCAGTAGAAATGAACTGGAGATAATTGTGGCAATGTCCCCAACCGCTTCATATAATGACTACTACTAGTAGTAGAAGTAACAACAACAACCATCCATTCAGCACGATAAGGTAAAGAGACGGAAGTAGAAATGAACTGGAGATAATTGTGGCAATGTCCCCAACCGCTTCATATAATGACTACTACTACTACTAGTAGCAGTAATAACAATAACCATAAGGTTTTATATCCCGCCGCATCTCCCCGCAGAGGCTCGGGGTGACTTACACACAGCACAGGATTTTCCAGGTGAGGTCTGACCAAAGCAGAACAGAGAGTGACTATGGCTTCCATCTATCTCCACACTAGATTGATTCAGCCTAGAACTACATTGGCTTTTTAAGCTGCCACATCCCATGTGGACTCATGTACATCTTGTGATCTACCAAGGCTCCTAGATCCCTCTCACACTGACTTGTTTTAAGCCAGGAGTCACCCATCTGACATCTGTGCATTTCCTGCCTAAGTGAAYTACTGTACACTTCTCCCTGTTGAAATACATTTGCTTAGTTTTGGCCCATCTGTAATCTGCTAAGGTTTTTTTTTTATGCTGATCCTGCCCTCTGGGGTATTAGCTATCCCTCCCAATTTGGATAAACCTGCTTTCTTTTCCATTGTGGAAGTCATTGCTAAAGATGTAGAAGGACAGAAACCTCGCTTACCAACTGGTCACTTCTCTCTAGGATGGAGAGGAGCTATTAGTAAGAGCTCTTGTGTTCAGCCAGTTCATGGATGAAGAAACACAACCCACAAACWATCTYCAGACCCACCAAGAAAATCCAACAAATGGTACATTCAGCAAAGGACAAGAGGYATCCTCTCACCTCTGCAGGAGTCTACCACATACTACTTCCAGGTGAAAGGTGGTCTCGGTCTCGGTRGGCTTGACACGCCGTCCTCTTGGCARGTTTCTCTCTTTCACTCTCTTCAAATTCTGCAGCACTGCTGYTCACAGCTGATCTCCAGCTTGAACACTCACAGGCCAGGGCTCCCCAGTTCTCAGTGTCTATGCCAGAGTTTTTAAGGTTGGCTTTGAGCCCATCTTTCAACCTAATTCCGTTTTCCGTTCTTGAGTTCGGAGTAGAGCAACTGCTTTGGGAGACGGTGGTCAGGCATCCGGACAACGTGGCCGGTCCAGCAGAGTTGATGGCAGAGGACCATCCCTTCAATGCTGGTGGTCTTTGCTTCTTCCAGCACGCTGACGTTTGTCTGCTTGTCTTCCCAAGATATTTGCAGGATTTTCCGGAGGCAGCGCTGATGGGAGGCAGCGCTGATGGAATTGTTCCAGGAGTTGCATGTGACATCTGTAGACAGTCAAAGGACTACCAAACGTAGCATTGCCCAGGCACAAATCAAGGAACATGAAAGGCACTGCAGACTAATCCAAACAGAGAAGTCAGCCATAGCAGAGCACCTGATGTACCA